TTTAAATGATTAAAGGACTATCTTCACTATATTTTTCTCTTTGTTATTGATTTGCATGCAAAGCATTTGAACACGACTTTGTCGATGAGGAGCAAATTCCTGTAAGATTTCAGTCTTCTATCCTTGGATATTCATTAGTCAATTGCGTGTCTTCTGTAACAGGTGAGAACTGGTGGGCCAATTTTTGCTGGACCTTGCACATCCCGAGCGTTGCCTTCTCAGGTTAGTTTCTTTCTGCATAAGCTGATTAAAAATTGACTGATAATTGTGGTATTTAATGTGAATTCTTATCTTAGAGTTAGAAAGGAACAAATTATCTCTTTAATGTATCTAGTAGTTACAAAGTGCTAAGTTTAATATCTCTCGCCTTTATTTACCGCGAGATGGAAACTTGAGATAATCGATGTTGAATTGTGTACTTTGATTTTGTAGCACGGAGAAACAGTTTTACCCTCTTTTTGTTGTCCATGATTTTCCACTATCAATCAAAAAAACAAGGAAATGATAATTTTCCTTCTATATTCTACTTTCCTCATTCTATTTCATATATTGGTAAGCATAGTCCATTATCGATCTTAAGAGAGGTAGAGGTCGGCCTAAACTCACTTGGGAAGAGTCGGTTAAGAGAGACCTTAAAGATTGGAATATCTTCAAGGATTTAGCGGTGGATAGGAGCGCTTGGAGGCTAGCTATCAACGTGCCAGAACCGTGACTTTTGCTCCTTTTTTTTTTTTTTTTTTTTTTTTTTTTTATCTCTTCCTTTTGGCTCGAGTCATTTTTGTGTTTCTCTTGGGTTTCATCTCTAGCCTACCCCGACTTGCTTGGGACTAAAGGCTATGTTGTTGTTGTTGTTGTTTGTATAGTCCATTATCGATCTTATATTGATGAGTCCTCAAAACTGAAAATTCACACTTCCTGTTCTGATTTTACTGAACCTTACTTTATCAGTTGTTGATTTTTAACCATGTCACACATAAAATATAACATATTACTAGTCACCAGAGGAATCTCTCTATATTAACCCATAGGTAAATGAGGCAAATGCCATCTTCTCGAGGAGGACTATACACATTAAATGGGGAGCTTCATTTTATACTTCTATATTTGTTGATGCTATTTGCCACTGGATGATATAACTTTGATCGAGGATAACTTGCATCTCATGCAGGTACTCATCTGCTCCAGAGATGGGAAGATCTATTCTTTTGAAATGGTGAGATTGTTTTCATACATGAACTTATAGCCGCGCGTAGATGCTCAAACTTAGTCTTGGCTACATTATATCAAGTAAAATCACTAACTTGTTTGTATCAATTAAGTCAATTGCATCTGTGAAAATCCATCTCCCTAACATTACATGAACTTACAATGTAACTGGCACTTTAATTTTAGCCTTTAGGTCCAAGTTGTCATAAATTACATTTTGCCAGCCTCTCCGGCAACCAGTTCTGACTATGAATCTACTTTAGAAGTGCTTTTTTGTTTTTACCACGATCTCGATAAGAACTGACTAAGTATAAATTGTCATGAAATGTGGATGGAGACCTACCAAACTGTAACTCTCTAAATGCAGGAAACTGGTAATATAATCTGGAAGCACACAGTCGGGCGTCCAATTACCTCATCTGCTTATGTAGATGAATTCTCCCTAGTCAAGTCCGATAAAAATCCCAGTTCCCCTGACAGGTAAATGTCTACAGTTTCAAGAGTATTTTATCGGCTAATTATACATATTACATACCCAGGGAAAGTTTATTCTGCACGTCATCATTCCATGTCCTCTTTTCAGGTTAATGATATGTGTTTGCGACAGCTCGGGCAGTATTCATGTATTACGAGTTTTCCCTAATGCTGTTGGAGGTGTGTATCCAAATACAGATGAGTTGGTGCATGAATTTGCTCGATTGGACCTTAATGGTGACATCTTCTCCTCACCGTTGATGATTGGCGGAAGAATTTTCGTGGGCTGCAGGGATGATCACGTGTACAGTATTCAGCTTGAAGTTGAATTGGCTTAAAAACCTCTGAGGTTAGACTCTACAAAACTTCAGTTTGCATAACCTTTTGCTGACACTGTTATTGGATCGACTAAACAGCTTTCCGCATCAAAAAATTGGAAATTAATAAATACATTAGCGATATCATTGGATAATCGACAAAATTACCCCTAAAGCACCACAGAAGTGAGAGGTTTAAGTTTTAACTTTTTCTCATTGTTATTATTTGTTTATATATTTATTTATTTTTCTCGAATACCGAATTTAGGACTACGAACTTGTATAGGATATCCCGTTCCACTTTGGTGTTCTGTTTCGTGTTTTGGATGAGAGACGTGTACAAATATGACATCAACATGTACACGTGTCATTCATCCAATGGAATGAAACATGAAACAGAACACCAAACTAGAGTGGAACATGAAATTTCATTCCGTGTTGGGAACTTGGAAGTTGTACCAATAATATTTAAAAAAAAAATTAACACACAATCTAAGTATACAGCTATACATACACATACTGAGATAGGTATAGAAAGTGACTGAAAGAGAGAAGACAATCATAGCTCTTTCATCCGACTATATAATCCCTATCCTAAGCATGTTCATGTGGTGTTGCTTTGAGATAAAGCAAACCAAAAAATGTGGCACTTAGTTTAGGTGGAGTCGTTTTGTGGGTAGGGTATATGGGCCATATAGCCTATCATGGATAACAGGTAATTTACAGCATATATATTCTTATGCCCCCCAATTATTTCGTTCATGTATGTAAATTGTATTATCGTTAGTGTAATAAAACAATTCGTGACAAATTTACATAAAAAATAATTATAGATTTTTTCATTATTAATTAAGTGGAGTAGATTTGATTGGACTTAATGTTAAACCGAACATTAGTTCTTGATGGGACCAAAGCATGATCACGTATGGTTGGCCCCGCTCATCCGCTCCTATCCACTTACCAAAATTCTTTTGCTATCCTTTAATCATGCTATTTCATTAAAAAGGAAATTATATATTTAGTTTTCAAGTGAAAACTTATTTTGAAGTTTTCTAGTATTTAAAAAGAGTTTTTTTTTTTTTAATATTTAAATTATTGTATTTTCAGATTTTTTGTCAACTTCTTATAGTGTTATGTAAACGCCATAGACTAGCTTATAAACTTTATATTCAAATTGGTTTGGTAGGATGAAAAATAGTTGGAGTTTATCACTTAAGCTTCTCTAAGTAATTCATTGAAAACTATGGCTAGCTTATAAACTTTATATTCAAATTGGTTTGGTAGGATGAAAAATAGTTGGAGTTTATCACTTAAGCTTCTCTAAGTAATTCATTGAAAATTTTGTTTTAGTTGATTTATTAGTTAATATTACCAAAGACTTTTATTATATTAACTAACTTCACTCATCAGCTATAAGTTTGAAATTTGATTATAAGCTATCAGTTAGCTCTTAGTTAAATTTACTAAACATACTCTTAATAATTTTTTTCTTTAACAATAATATATTTATTTATTCGAACTAATATTTATAATCACGTACATTATAAATTTTATATTTCTACACTTATTTATTTGAACTAATATTTATAATCAGGTACATTATAAATTTTATATTTCTACACTTAATTTGTTGTCATCTTCTTACATTTTGATTTTTTATCATGAAAAGGATATCACTGAACCATGGTGCCTGCATTTGATACAAGTTTATAATGGTTCGTAGCAATCCTATTCTTAGTCCTTGGTCAAAATTATAATTCCCGAGATGCAAGGCGGCTTCAATGTTTTTCAAGAGGTCAACTCACATTTGAATTTTGCCGAATTGTGTTAGTTATAAGTTTTTACTTTTTGGGGTGACAGACAATTCATGCTATACATCGGAGACATTTTGTTCCTATAAAGGTAAATTCTGACCAATTCCATTCACCCTTACCCATAATTATTTTTAATAATTATCTGATTTTTTTTTTTTTTTAATTTTTGGGATCATGTGGATTATTTATACAATTATAGATTATGTGGATTATCTATAAGCTAATTAACAATTTTCTGAAAAATTTAGGGAAGTACTTATTCCTTGAGCACGATTTATTAAACCAAAGCGAAAGGATCAATCATTTGATTGTTAAGTTTTCATTATATTAAGTTGGTGTAACAACTTCATATGTATCTAAGCTCTATCTAATCCTGCAATGACAGCACGACATTACTTATTAGCAAATAGTAGGTGTACTTGCAAATGATGACTCCAAATATGAGTTTACCAATTTGAGCAAGTCATCTTACGTGTGGTTCAGTATTTTTATATTGAATACTTTATTTCATAGTTTCATTTGTGTTTCTTAAGGCGGCTAAACGATCACTGCGATTCGGCCAGATGTGCCTGCCCTTTCTTTTTATT